ATTTCTGAAGGAGAGAAAATACTGTGCAAATCAAGGAGGCCATAAAGGCGTACTACAATTGTAGGAACGACTGACGATATGGTCTTAAGAGCAGTAATAAAGCAATTATAGAATAAAATAGTTAAAAATTTATAAAATATGTTTGCCATCTGGAGAACCTTTTCAAACCTACAACTCTATTATGCAACATTTTTCTTTATGTATTACATATTTTTTGAGATATTTTGTCCATGCTCCACTTTGTGGACACCCTCAAATACTCATGAAGATCACGAACAATGGGCTAGAACTTGGAATTTCTCACTCTTTACATACCCCGTGTCAAAAATAGGCGTTTTATTTGACAAAACTCATGAGCTCCAAAGGACCTTGAAAGACATAGTCAAGGTCACGTTCAAAACCACCATTAGATGAATCTTTTCAAATCTTACAATTTTTCATCCGCAACATTTTTCTCTAGGAAACGTATTTTTCGAGATATTTCATACTATCCACTGTATATTTTCGGAGATAAAACAATACCTATAACCTTTCTAGGGGATCAATCAGTGTACGTCCCTCCATATTGTGGTTCACACAAGGAACTGTCTTAGGTCCGCTGTTATTCAATATATATTTAAATGATATTTTCCAAATTAATTGTGTTGGCAAAATAACTAGTTTTGCAGATGATACTGCAATATTATATGAAGGCACTGACTGGTCTGATCTGAAAAATGTAATTGAAAATGATTTTATCAAAATTATTCGGTGATTTAACAGTAGAAAATTAAGCATTAACTACTCTAAAACACATTTTTTACCATTTGGATCTTATGCTAGACATCTGCCAAATTACACAAATTTCTCCTTCAATATTAATGATCAAAAAATGTAAATTAATAGAGTGCCCAACATAAAATACCTTGGAGTGGTCTTGGATCCTCACTTACGATGGGACATCCATGTCAATTATATTTTAAAGAAAGTTAGATTTGTATCCTACAAAATTAAATACCTTGGGAATATATTGACAGAAAAATATCTTCGAACATTATACCATGCACTGATTGAGCCTCATCTCACATATGGTATATTAGCATGGGGAGCTGCATGTTCCTCACATATCTATAATTTAGATGTTTTTCAAAAAAGTATTCTAAAAATGATATTTAAAAAACCGAAACTTTATCCCACTGAAAAATTATACGCAGATGTTCGAATGTATGATATAAGACAGCTTTATTTCTTACACAGTATCACTCACTACCATAAATTTGTAAACACCGACCAAAAAATTAAACATAATCATTATACCAGGTACAAAATTCGTGGCACAGTAGTTCCTCAACCGCATAAATCTATAATGCAGCGATCATATCTCTATTTAGCGCCTAAATTTTATGAAATTATACCTAAAGACTTAAAAGATTTACGTTTCGGAAATTGTTTCAAAAGAAATTTAAAAAAGTGGCTACATTCTATATCTAGGACTGAAATTCATAAACTCATAAATACGAACATCAACTAAATACATAATCTACTGTAGCTAATTTTTGTCCTTTTTTGTCATTTGCATTCTACAGTTTCAACTTAAATTTATTGGTCCATGTACAGGCGATGCCTTCTATTGGGCCTGTTTTGATTTTATATTTATTTACTCATATTGTTTGTTATCTTTGTACATTGAGTAAATAAATATTATTATTATTATTATTATTACATGTGATGGTAACACACTGGGCAGTCATTCCCATTTTTAGATGTATATAGGTTTTATGATTCGTGAAAATTACATTTTAGCATTGCATCGTATGTAAGCGCTGTATGGCGGCTAGGATCCCTTGGTAAAATGGTACTTGGTAGGACAGATCTTTACATATCTAGTGTCCCCACCTATGTTCAATATCTAGGAGGCAGTTTGTCACGCAAACGCCTGTATTTGCTTTAATTTAAGCAACTTTCAATACAAAATATGTCTTGAATCTCAGTAATGTGAACTAAACAAGAACCACTTGTTGTAGTTATTTTTCTTCAGCTAATCGATCCTTAAAACCTGACACAAACAATATTCCAACATCTGCAATCACTGTTCCCGATTAACACCTTGCGTCGATAAATTTTTCTGACGAAGAAACTGAACAGAACAAAATGACACACTTTTTGCCCTTGTGGCAATTCATTTTATACCTCGGTTCTCTCAATTTTTCTCCGTCTTGAAGCTAATGAAGTGAAAAAATACGGCCTATTTCACTTCTCCTGAACAAAAAACAGGAGAAAGTGATTTGACTGGAGCATGATCTCGATTTATCACACTGCTACTGGTATATAATTAATTGCTTTGTCAATACTACTGCCTCGATATTCGTCGATCAACTTTCTCGTTGATATGTTTTCTTTCTTTTGTCGGTTGTTTCGAGTGAAACGAACAAGTCGCTCGAACATATGGTGTGTTTTAGCCCTACTTTTCTTTACTCCAGACCAAGCCGTAGTAGATTATTGAAGTATTGAAGTATGCGTCAACAATTAGAATCATGAGAGGACAAAAATACGAGCTAATAAAAAACGATATGCAGGGCACACTCAAAGGAAAAAGAAGCGTAGGAAGAGGGCAAAGGCGAAATTACATATGGAAATTGCCCCCAAAGATATCCAAATCTGGACAAATCCAAATTAGGATATATAGGGGTTAAATTAGCAAGGTCAAATTTTAGAGATTAGAGATTAGAGATATTTCTTTGCGGGCGCAATTTTGTTAAAATTACTGATGCTATACTGCTATACAGGGTGTCTGCGAAAGGTTGGGAAATCTCGAAACTGCAGATACTACAGACCAAAATATGTGAATGTAAACATACCTTAGTCCAAAAGTTGATAATTTGCCAGATACTAACAATTTTATTCTCTATTTTTCCTTCTTGCTTGAGAAGTATTTCAGATTTTGGCATAAAACTCGGTATAGGGAGGTTTTTTAGTATGAGACAAGAATCCGTTATTTTTTATGACCAAACTTCTAGAGGGCGCCACTTACAGCACTATTTCGGTAAACAACTTATTATAACTTTTTCTGCTACCCTGTATACAACAACTGATCGAAAAATCTTATTTTCTCATATATTCGCAACAAAAAGCTTTACTTGTTGAAGTGTAGTTAATAGTTTTCGAGATATTTGTTTTTAAAAGTTCCAATGCATTATTTGTACCATGATAAAATATTTTTATAACATAATAATCAAGTTGCTTTGGATAATATCTCGGTGGCGTTGATATGGTGTCTAATATTTGTCATAATATTGCTTTAAGCTTCATGAATAATTTTAAGTTGACAATAAGTTGTTAAACATAATAATAATTAACCTAAAAAAAAAGAAAAACTGAAAAAATAATACAAAAAACATAATTATATACATCTGATAAGTTCTAAGTTTAAAAATGTAGGTGTATAAAAAATATGATGTATATAACATATATAAGTGAAGGCTATTCAATATTTATGATTTAAAAGTATAAAATTGTAACAGTTATACAAAACAAAAGAATGCTATATTGGAAATATTTTTGTGTGAGGTGACAGATAAATTTTATAAACTAATTTATATACTTCTATTCAAAATAAATTTCTTCATATTTCTTTTAAATTCATCATGTGATAGCAATTTTGTGGATCGAGGTAGAACATTGTAAAAAATAATTGCGTTGTAGGTGAATCGTTTACGAAAGAATGATGTCCTGTGGAGGGGCATTGTGAGTGTTTCAGTGAATCAAATGTCCCTAGAATGGATATTGCTCCTAGATATCAGCTTATTTCTCAAAAACGGCGGAATGGATGATACCAAAAGCCTGTGGGTGTAAGTAACTAAGTGCAGCTCACACAGTTAATTAACTCTCAACCACATAATGGAGTTATACGTTTGATCAACTTTTGGACTAAGGTATATTTAGGTCAAATAACATATTTTGGTCTGTAGTATCTCTAGTTACCAGATTTCTCAACCTTGAAAAAAACATTTTTTTGAATTTTTGGTTAGGCAATGAAAAATTAGCAAACATAAAAATCCACTGTATATTAGTGCTTTCTAGCGTTTCTTTCAGATGTACTAACAAAATGAATGTTTGCCCGGACTATCGCCAAAATTCCTTTTTTCCCGTTTTGGGTTGGTTCAGATTTGGGGGCAATTTTCATATGAAGTTTCGCGTAAAGCCTTAAATAAATGGGATAGACGTAGCCCGATTTGAAGTTTTAAATCCGCAGCTAAGGAACATATGATGGCACATGAAGAAGAAAAATAAAGAACGGTAGCAGGCCAGAATCGAAATTATGTTGTTCTTATTAATTAATTAATTGACCTTTCTTTTATGTTTTTTTTTACGTTTTGTTCACATATATTCACTTGTATTTTTAGTATCCTTCCTATAACGTAAGTAATAACCGTATTGCATCTGTCTCTTTGACCACAAATTGGAGGATTACTAATGAATAAACTCCAAAAAATATACCCATTAGTCTTTGTCAGACGGAAGTCAAAATATTTGGACTTCTGAAGTCTGATGCAGACAGTCGTTTTCTAAAGTTGTGCTTCATCTTCACGTACATACCAAAATCGGATCGTGGTATTTGTAGAGGATGTTGTGTAGACAGAACAACAGATTAACAAAACGAAGGAAAATAGGTCTGTGTATATTTATACAGGGTATTCCAAACCTCTCTGTCCAAACGATGCTAGATGCTAGCATTGTTTAACGTATTTTACCTTAGTGATGGAAAATTCTCGAGAACAAAGAAATTGTGAATATTCTAAAAAATGAGAATTACCAGAAGTGGTAAAACCAACACAAACTCTAAGATTTTATTGAACATTAACAAAAACAAAATATAATAAATTATGTTCCATCTTCCGAGATAAATAATAAAAATATTCTCGTTTTCACAAAAGAATAAGAAACGAAATAAAAACTTGAACAGACTTGAACGAAGTGAAGTTAAGAAAATGAATCTGAGTCAGAAAAGATGCCCAGATCACGGTATTCATCCTCTGACGCATCCGACTCATCACCATCGTCCGACTCATCACCATCGTCCGACTCATCACCATCGTCAGACTCCAATATCATTCTCCCTGCCTCTATTTTCGTCAAGGCCCTTTTTCGACTGGCAGTGCAAAGTAGATTTGGACCGCTTGGATATTGCTGATACCTGGTCCTGGTCCAATAGTTTTAAATTATGAGCTATGAAAGAAACTTTATCGGTTCGCTCAGCTGTCAGTCGGTTACTTTTTGAAGAATGAATGAAACCATATGTACTGAAACTTCTTTCGGTAGCCGTGCTAGTCGCAGGCGTTTTCAGAATTTGAACCGTTCAACAAACGAAACTAATTCTGATACTGTGATTCACTTGCGATGCTTGCTGTTCTCACAGGAAAAAATACAAATAAATACCTCTGGGATTTCCCACGCGGTCCGTTAAAAGTAGGTTTTCGATGGTAACGCTTGATAAATTTACCGGCAGGATATTCTCGAGAATATATGTTTTGAGAACATTCTCGCCTCATATAACTAATTTTACCTAATTCCGTATTGGCTGAAAAACAGTCACGTCGTCTAAGAAAATTTGTCACAGACAGCTATGTCTCTCCTCTTCGCGATAATCGATCTTCTTTGAAAAGGTTACTGTTTCCTACATAATCTCCCAGATGGCGCTGTGGCCAGTTATATGTGAGCATACGGTAGTAAAATACCAAAATTGATGAGAGTAGCGAAACTAATCGTACGCCACTGCTATTACGCGGAGACCTTCGAAAATGCGGCGCTTCTTTGTGAAATGTCGGTAAATGTCGCTGTAATTAAAAGGAACAGCGTCAAAGCAGTGGCGCACGCTGACTTCTGCTACTGTCATCAATTCTAGTATTTGACTATAGGAGATACCAGCCTTTTTATAGTAGATCTATGATTATCGCATAGAGGAGAGACATGTCTGTGATGCGGCGGTTTTTCACTTCCTTTCGAATAATCTTTGGGACACGCATCGCTTTCAGTTAGCTATCATCATCTATCCATTCTTTTGGAAGATGTGTCTCTTGAGACAACATGAAGGATGTGGTTACAGAACGATGGGTGCCCTGCACACTATGGCAGCAAGGGGGTATCTTGATGAAACATTCCCTAGAAGATGCGTTGGCTGGCTAGGACCAAATTTGTGGCCTCCACGGTACCCAGGCCTGAACCCTCTGGATTTTTTTAAAAGACGAGGTCCACGGAAAACCTGTTCGATCAGCTCATGAACTACGTCATCGAATCCGTCAAGCAGCATGTAAAGTATCCGATTTAATTTTAAGACGTTTAAGAGGTCAATTTTTAAGAAGATGCAGGTTGTGTATAAGAGTCTGTGGTAGACATTTTGAAAAAATGTTGTGAAAATAATAATAATAATGATAATAATAATTTATTTCAGGCCGTATTTACATTACAAGATGTTAATTTAATTTTCAATTGGTTAATTTAAGATGTTAATAATGATTCCTAATTCTTTATTTGATATGAATGTTGTAAACATCAATAAAAATGCAAAAAAAAATACAATCTAACGTAATGTTCTTTATTTTGATGCCCACATACAACAATGAATAAAATGGATAGCTTTCTTAGACATCTGCTAAGATAAAAAGCTATTACTGCAGCTAAAAAGTTGTAATTTGGACATAAAAGACAGACAGCTGCACTTACTATTTTTAATTTGTAAGATTTCGCAAGTATTACGACTTGAATGACAAAAGTAGGAATTATTCAGTTTTTAGTAAAAATAACCTACAAATGTTATATTACTTTTGAAAGAATATTAAATATCTAGTTTTTAATGTCATTTGCTGATTCAGTCTGGTACATTTTTTTCACAGTAATTAGTCAAACATTAGTAAAGGTTTTCGCATTGAAACCAAATGTAAATTTAGTTTTTTTTAGCATACCGTGCTGGTTTTCAATGGAATGAATAATCTGCTGACAGAACCAACTATTAATAGCCCAGGAAAAAAATTATAAGTTAGAAGTTCTTTATAGCCATAACAGGCAAAAAAGAGCAAAAAGTAGGGATTTTTTGAAAAAACGTAAAAGTGGCAACGTGCCGAAAACCAGAAAACTATTACTACGGTTATGCTGATTTTATCTGATTGATCTACCTCCCCTGTCACTCTGGCGTGTTATTTCTAGGACACCCTGTATATGTAACCATTGGCTCATAACAACCGATCGTTATTAGATTTCGTCTGGAATTTCTCACTCTACTAATAAAATTGACTTTCACAATACAAACCACAGCAATTCATAACTTTGATATGCACAACCCGTTTCGAATTCTTAACTGGGACCCGCCCAGCTTCCAACATCTTGAGGAAACGCTCTCTCGAATCAAGGTCGGAGACACACTTACCTTCCGACGTTGCCAGATTGCCCCGGATCACCTTATTAATAATTATTGGTCACCGAATTCAGGCCTTATTATGTTTGCATCGCATGCTGAATGTGTTTATCTGTAGCGTGTATTTCTGGATACTCCCGCCTATCGGAAAGCATATTACGTATTTAGTCGGCCCTTTAGTGCCGCTAGATCGCTTCCGTCATAATTAGCTATGGAATTCAATTTTGCAACGTGGAAGCTCAATTTCAAAGCGAGATAAGTAGATTCACTTTATTTTTCCACGACTTAAGACTACCAAGCAAAACTGACTGACTCCCTTCCTGAGAGAAATTTTTGTGTGCATTTTCTAAGATATTTATATAGGGTTGTCCAATAGGGACGCAGGGAAGTAAACGTCAATTTGACATAGACGCCATCTTTGTTTTCTGTCATCGACATGTCATTTTGTTAGTTGAATGTTTACCATTGATCGCTATGGAGTCGTATTCGATTGAAGACCGCATTAAAGTTATTCAAGAGCACTACAAAAATGGTGCAAAAATAAAAAACACGTTTCGCGCGCTTCGTGAACATTTTGGTCGCAACAACCGCCCAAACGAAACAAGCATCGGTCGTCTGGTGCGAAAATTCGAGGCAACAGGTTTTGTGGCAAATCTGCCAGGCTCTGGCCGGCCAAGGAGCGTTCACACACCGGAAAATATTGCTGTTGTGAAGGAGAGTGTGAGAGACGATCCGAAACAATCAACAACGCGTCGATCCCAAGAATTGGGCATTTCGAGAACCAGTTTGCTCCGCATTCTCCACAAGGATTTGAATGTACACGCCTACAAGATCCAATTGACGCAAGAGCTGCGCCGGGCCGACCATTTTTCGCGCCGAACGTTCTCAGATTGGCTCCTTGAACACCGCCAAATTGATGCCAATTTTTCATCAAAAATCATGTTCAGCAACGAAGCGCATTTCACTTTGAATGGGACGGTAAACAAGCAAAACTGCCGCATCTGGGCGAACGAAAATCCCCGTGAGTATCAAGAGCAGCCGATGCATCCTCAAAAAGTGACTGTGTGGTGTGCATTGTGGTCAAAAAGCATCATCGGACCTTACTTTTTCGAAAATGCGGCCGGGGACGCCGTTACCGTCAATTCTGAGCGATATCACGTGATGATAGAGGACTATTTTTTGCCGCAACTTGAAGGAATGGATATGGACGATGTTTATTTCCAACAAGACGGTGCAACATGCCACACAATCAACGTCAATATCCATCGATTGCAGTCCTTCTTCGGTGATCGCGTGATTTCGCGCAGAGGAGATGTGCCATGGCCACCAAGATCGTGCGATTTGACTCCCTTGGACTTCTTTTTATGGGGATATTTGAAAAGCAAAGTCTACGTCAACAAACCAGCCACCCTCCAAGAACTCAAAAACAACATCATTGCCGAGATAAATGCCATAGAACCGACCATGTTGCAAAATGTCATTGAAAATTTCGACCATTGCGTGGACGTCTGTAAATCCAGTCGTGGTGAACATTTGAGCGATATTATTTTTCATACACAAATGGTATAAATCAACCTTCAAAATAAAGTACCCAACTTGATTTGAATATCAATCTTTCTTGTTTTAATATGCGTTTACTTTCCTGCGTCCGTTTTGGACAACCCCATATAATATGCTTAGAAAGGGTTGCATATCAAAGAGTTTTCGTTGCACCAAGGAAATAAGAGTTGGTAGTGCCGCTTCATTGGAAAAAGATCAGCAGTTACGCATTGTAAAACCTAGAATACGTTTCGCTTAAGAAATGATGCATGCTACATGGACAGAAAAGTTCAACCAGCAGGACAAGGGTCTTTGTTGTTCTCTTCAAACCGCATTATTTCTGGAATAATAAAAAAAAATCGAGTTCGTCTTGCAACTGTATGAACAAACTTTACACTTGGAAATCTTTAAGAAAAGAAAGTTATTGTCACACCAATGTGTGATGATATCTATATCCTACCAAAGGGCAATATATTTCTCTAAATTTCTAATTTTAGCGTAGATTTTCCGACCATCGGCAGAAAGGAGATTGTGACACTTTAGTCCTTTAGTGAAAGAGCAAGGTTATTTATTAGGAATAAGAATAACAAAGGGCCTAGGTTCGATCCTTGCGGCACGTCAGAGGGAACAAGTATAATTTGCTGAACATTAACCATTACAATAAACAACGGAATCAAAAAGGTTTCACAAAAATCCGTTCAGTGGAACCGGGTTCCCCGGTTTTCATATTTTTGTCTTAGGCCGCGCTACTAGAGGGCCTACTTAACTAGATTCCACTTTATTACTGTTCGTAATCGTTCTTTAAACGTACAGTTTTCGTGACAAGCTTCCTGGCCTCGAAATCAACTGGCAACGCCGCTTGCGAAACCGTTGTCGCTTGAGGCACATTCGGCTTAAGTACCTATAGATCGTCATCTCGTAGTTTCTAAAACGCTCATTTACTTAAATACAGTTATCTCTGATGGCGGTACATTTTTTACGATCCGGATGTGTGTGGCCGAAATTTTTGAATTATCATTTCGCTGAAATTGGGATGAGTAATATTCAGCATCTTAAATTCATGCGGGATGAAACGATAATATGGTACCCACTCATATACTACAAAAACATTTTTCTACTTTTGAGTTGAATGCATTTTCACATTTATACCTGTTACGACAAAAACGGTTAGCTTACAGTTTCTTATATTCTAATTTTTTATTTGAATAGAATTTTCGCGCCACTCGAACCTCCAAAATCTAAATGCCAATTAC